AACTGTGTGTCTACTAAATGGAAAGTCATTATTACTCTCCACAAGTCCAAAGCCACTGGTGCTAAAGTAAAAACAGCAGAAAAAGCCGTTCACTTTTTGCCAGGCACTGGTGTCTGCTGAGGTCTTCTCCTCCTGTCAAGCGGGTGGACCAGGGCCCGTTAGACGGAACTGAGCTCGCTCTCGGAGGGAGTCCTGGAGAGAGCCCCACAGGGGCAACAGAGCTTTCTGACTTCTTTACTGCCACGTCAGAGTACATGCGCAGGTGTTAATCCAGGGCCCTGTCTTGGGAAGCCCCGGTGTGAGAGGGAGTCTGGAAGCTTGGGATCCAGCCAATGGGCTCCAGATTTTGGACACTTGTCTCGATGTTCTCATCTATAAAATGGGACGAGACTCTTGTCCTTCCCTGGCTGTGGTGACTGCAGCATTCAGGGAAGGCCCCTTGCCGACAGCCCCGTTGGCTCAGTGTGACCGGCAAGAGGAGCCCTTACCTGCACGGTGGTCCACACTGCCTCCGGATGGCCCAGGGAACAGCGGGCCAGGCTGCAGCCTCCTGGAGGCAGGTCCACACCATTTCCAAGGTGAGGACAGAGTCTTGCAGGGCAGGCCTGGGCCGATGCCATTTTCTTTTCCAGTCACCTGAGAAGCCTCAATCAGGTAGGGCTGACAGAGAGCCGCTCAGAGGGATTCACGCCTTGCGTGAAGATGCACAGCACTGAGTGGTGCGGTCAGGACTGGAGCTCAGGTCCAACTGGCCTGTCCCAGACTGGTTGCTCTGAGCTCCCTGGTGAGTGCTCTCAGACCCTTGTTCTGTGCCCACTTAGCAGCCCCATGCTCCATCCGCGGGCCCCACCACGCCGGGCTGGGTCTGGGTGACCTTGCACTTTCTTGCCACTGAGACTTGGCTTGAGCTGTTCCCTCTGTCTGGAGTGTCCTTTGTCTCCTAAAGAATGGCCGGCTTCTGGGGCCTGGTCTCTATGAAGGCCTCCTGGCATTGCTCTTGCTGGAATTTCTGAATGACGTGTTCCCTGCTGCCTTGTGTCTTTTGGCCACACTAGCCATACCACATGAAGTCCCTTGGGGACGGGGACCTTGAGTTGTCGTTGCCCTCCTGGCAGGGGTGTGGAAATGCGCTGGGGTACCCCTGACGCCAGCAGTGGCCTCCCTCGGGAATACAGGGCATTCTGTGCGGCCGTGTCTCCTCTGATGCTCCCAGAGACCCTGGCCCGTTAGCTCTTCTTCCAGGCAAGGACCACACAGACCAGAGAGGTGATGGGGCCTATCCAGGGTCGCACAGCATAAGAGGACATTAGGATATAAAGCCAGTGCTCTGTCAAGAGCCAGAGAAGGACTGGCTGCTGCAGAGGGAGCCTGGGTGGTGTCCATGATGCCCCTGGGGACAGCAGGGGTGTGGAGACTGGCTGGCACACAGCCAGCGGGAGTGGGCGGGAGGGGGAGAGTGAGAGGCCTGGAGGCCTGGCCCAGTGGGAATGGGCAGGCCCTGCCTTCAGGAGCCCTGAGTGCTGGTGTGGCTCCCACACGGAAAGCTAATACCTTTGGTGGTCCCCGCTGCTCTTCGAGCCTGATCCCCCCCCCGCCCCCACGCAGAAGAGGTTCCTCCTTCACCTGTGTCGGCTCCTTCAGTATAGATTGACTTTATCCGCCCCCCATTGTTGGACCCTTGGGGGGACAGAGAAGCTGGGTGTGCTGGGCTGGGGGGATGGATGAGTCCTGTGCAGGTGGGGGGCGATGTGGTGGTGTTGTCGCAGGGGTTCCAGGACTGTGGAGGGGGAGAGGGGAGGGGGGCGGTCCTTGGGCTGAGCTGTGACAGGTGAGCAGGGAAGGGACAGTGTGTGGGGAGGCTCTGCCTACGGCTCTACGCTTTACGGAACTGCCTGGAGCTCTTAGCGCTTAGCTTAGCATGCAGAATGAATGGTAGGGGTCGGGTGAGCTGGGCAGGCACCGAGGGAACAGGACGGGCTGAAGGCAGTGGGGAAGCTCGGGCTTTCCTGTTAATGCCGACTTGCGCACTGTGTGAAGATGTCCAGAGACCAGAAGCGCCGTTCTCCTAGCTCAGGCCCAGAGAGAAGAGCCCCTGGGTTTGGGAGCCGGCTCTCCTGACTCCCGGTTTGTCCACGGCCTCCAGTGCTCATGTCTGCACAGGGAGAGGGCAAAGCTCAGAGGCTCTTGACTCTGACCCCGTGGGGTTGTTGACCCAGTGGGTGGAAAGGGTGGGGCCCTCAAAGGTGTGGGAGGACAGTTGCCATGAGGTCCCGTGTGCTCAAAGGCTGGGGCCAGAAGAACCTGGCGTCGGTAGGCCAGCAGCAGCCTTGCTGGCAGGGATGCGGCTGGAGAGATGGCCGAGCTGGGGCAGACCTTCAGCCAGGCCTAGCCCCCGTTCTCCTGGCCTGGGCCCAGCCAAGCTCTCCTCTCTTTGCCCCCACCTCCTTTCTGTCCTCCCGGGGAGCGTTCACCATGGTGTGGCCTAGAAGGCCACCAGAACCCTTATTCTCCGGGAGCTTGACTGTGTAACCTCGGGCAGCTTGCTCCCCGGCTCTGGGCCCTCGGGCTCTGAACATGGAGTTGCTAGAGCTGATTTCTGGGATCCTGCTCTCAGCTTCCTTGATCTAATTCTTGCAGCTTTAATTGCTTCCTGAGCAGGCCCTTCCGGAAACTGTGATGCTAATAACTCTCCTGGCTGGCCATTTGCCAGAAGCCCAGGGGTTGGCTCTCTCGAGGCTCCCCTCTTCTCTTTCCCTCAGGCCTCTAATACTGGGAGGCTGGGTGAGAGTGGGCCGGGTTCTGGGCCTTCCTGGCTGAGGGATGGCCAGAGACACTAAGTGTTTGGCCTGATGTCACACAGCAGCGGAGCAGGCCCGGTATGGATGTAGGGCAGAAGGTGAGGTTGCTATGTGTCCTTGGCACTCGCCAGGCAGGGACCCCAAACCCTCTGATCTCCCTGCCGTCCATCCGGATCCCATACTGACCACCCATCTCACCTTCTGCCCTTCCTGCTTCTCCCTTTCCCATCAAATCCCTCCCCTTTCCCTTCCTGTGAGGCTGGCTCAGTCAGGGTGTGTGGCGTTGGACCTTTCTCTGTGCTACAGGACCACTGGGCCAAGATGAAGGCACCAAAGGATTTGGGTTCAATTCCAGACTCTGCCATGGGACGCCACCAAGGCTCCTCCCTTCACTTAGCCTCAGTTTTCTTTTCTGAAAAATGGGAACAATGAAAGACTTGGCCAGCACTGTTTGCAAATACTGCACACGGCCCTCTTGCCAGCTGGTGTGCTGGCAGATGCCAGAGGGATGGAGCTTCTCTCTTGGCAGGTAGTGAAAGGTGGCTTGTCTCCTCTTCTCATTCTCCTCCCTCCGGCCTGCCAAGCAGTCTTCTCAGCCGTGGGCTAATTATCACAGATCTTCCAGTTAGTTAAAGCAATGTTGTTGTTCCTATTGTGGAGCTGAGGAAATGGGGGCTCAGAGAGGTTGAGTGACCTGTTCAAGGCCACACAGCAGGTGAGAGGTGCAATTGGGACTGGTACCCACATCAGACTTGCTCTCAAACCTGTGTTCACCCCAGGAGCCAGCCTACCTCACTTTGGTTTTCCTCAATGGGGCTGGGAAACCAGAGCCTATGACCCGGTGGGGTGGTAGTTTGCTGCCCTGGGCAGACCCCAGGACCAGCAGACCCATGGGTGTGGAGCTCTGCCAGCAGCCCAGAAGGAGTCTGAGATACGGGGGCTGTGGGTCTGATGTCTGGCCATCTGAGCATCAGTCAGGGCCTCTCAGGGGCAGGCCAGCTGCTGCTCCCCAGCCTGAGCCCTCCTCCCACGGCCTTCCCTGGCCACATCCAGCCCATGTCCCTTGTGTTGGGTTAGCACACGGCTGCCAGCCCAAGGGGGCTGCAGGGAGGCAGCTGACAGAAACAGCCTCCTTCTGTTCTGGGCTCTGTGCAGGGGCTGCACGCGCACGGGGAACCAACCAAGCCGACCCTGCTCTTGGGGCTTCTGGTCTAATGGGCGCCTGCAGTTCTGCTTCCTGGGATGGGAATCTGTGAGAGGGGTGGAGGGAGATGAGGAGTTCAGTGTGGGATTGGTGCCCGTGGGCGCTGGGGGCCCTCATCGGGGTGGGTGGGTTGGCGGAACCGAAGAGAGGTCCAGGCTGAGTATGGGGTCATGAGGCAGGGGAGGTGAGCAGAACACGGCTTGGTGCCGTGCCCCAGGACCAGAGGGAGAGGGAGGGCAGGGATGGGGGAGGGTCAACGAGGGTCGCTGCCCCTCGGGGCCCGGATGAGCCTGTTCTGAGACTGTACGGGAGAGAGACTCGGTGAAGTCTGTGAAGTCATCAGGGAGAGTCTGGCGTAGGAGCCTGGGAGGCTACAGAGTGAGGGATCTGGGCCTCAGGGGAGGTTAGGTCAGTAGGATTAAGGAGCCATGAGGAGATGTTTATTCTGGAAGCAGGGTGAAGGAGGCAGAGGGCGGCCAGGGAATGAATGTGAACAATGGCCACAAGGGGGGGCGCCCTCCCCACAGGGCAGAAACGGACCTTTAGATGAAGTGGGGAGGGTCTAGAGGAGGGGAGTTTGGAGGCAGTGGCCCTGCTCTCCTGTGCATGCGACAGCAGCCAGGGAGCTGCTGAGTTGGGCAGGAGTCTGACTCAGCCCTAGGAGGTGTAGGGGGATTTGGGGACAAGGGAAGGAGCAGGCGGGTGCGGCCCTGGAGCCCCAAACACCTTGGGATTGAGCCCATGGCCTGTTGGCGGGGAGGCTGATGTTGCCTCCAAGCATCAGAAGTGAGAGCATTCAGGACAAGGTGTCTGGTCAGTCGGTTCCTGTCCCTGCCGTGCTTGTAGCAGCCGCGTCTGTCCCCGCCTCTGAGCCTCGGCTTCTGGCCTGAGCGACAGGGTGGAGGGTGCCCACTACCCAAGGCTCCCCTGACTCAGCGGGCGCAGGTCCTCCAGTCTCTTCAGTAAGTGATGATCTTCTCACCCTCCTGTTGTCCCAGGTACCGCAGAAGCCACCCACGTGCCCGCCTCGCTCTCTGCTGCCTTGTGTCGCCCCCCCCGCTGGGGCAGTGGCCACCATGTTCTCGTGTGTGAAGCCCTACGAGGACCAGAACTATTCTGCCCTGAAGCGGGCCTGTCTGCGGAGGAAGGTGCTCTTCGAGGACCCCAACTTCCCGGCCACCGATGACTCGCTGTACTATCAGGGCTCCCCGGGCCCCACGGTCAGATGGAAGCGGCCCAAGGTCAGTGTCTGGCCACAGCTGGAGCTGAGGGGAATCGGCCCAGATCCGCCCAGTGTGCAGCGGATAGGCTGGTGGCTGGTCACCCCGAGGCTCCGGGGCGCTGGGAAAACGGAGGGCCCTCCTGCTGTGGGTTTTTGCCCGGACAGGGAGCCGGGCCATCGCCCTCATCCTGGGGCCACCGCCACCTGGCCAGGACCTCGCCCCCTCTCTGGGCCTCAGCTTCCTCACAGGGCAAAAGGAGTGCCCTGGCACCCAAAATAAAACTCAGGGTGGTTTGGGGCTTAAAAACGAGGCGAATGTTTTACTCTAGTATGAGCATAGAGTGACATTCGAATGTAAGCGATTTGCTGATTGTTGTAACGATTCTGAGACGGTCATTTGCCACAAATGAAAAGTATTTATGGTGATGGTTCATCAATACTGATAACAGCAGTAAGAAGTTACAGTGCCCTCGAGGGTTTTTGGGAACCTCCCGAGAGACGGCCTGTGAGCAGGCGTGGCACCGAGCCCGGTGCCCGGCACCGGCAGCGACACCATTACTGTCGAGAATGGTGAATCTGTGGCATCTGTCTGGCTGCTGCCCAGCCTTGGTCGCTGAGGTAGAAAGTGTTGAACAGAACTGTTGGGCCTCATGACACAATTTTGTCCACTTTAACCCCAATCCCTGCATGTGAGAGTGGGTGCCCCCGGGACCTAGGTGAGGGGGCGGCTGCTGGCACTGAGTTGGTGACATAGGAGGGATGTTGGTGCAGGGAGCTGTGCTGTGCTCCCTGCCCCATAGTTAGAGGAGGCATCTTGGGGTTGAGGGGGGAGGCACCGTGTAGAAAATATGGGAGACTTGAAACTCTCAGGCTTTTTTGGGACATGGCGGGAACATCAGGGAAGAGGGAGCCTGGGTCCTGTGGTTGGTGGGGCTGGTGTGTCCTGGGGCAGCCGGAGCCTGGGAGGGTGGTTGGAGGCCGGGGGTGGGGGGCACAAGGCTTTCAGCAGGTGTGACAGGGCAGGTTTGTGTTTTATGAAGTTCCCTCCGACCTCCTGGACATTTTGGGAAAATGGGATTCAGGTTTCGTGTTCCTCTCCTAGGCTGTGATCTCAAGTCCCTTACAACTCAAAAAGCCTGTGTATTTTCTTGGACTGGGGTGTTTGAAAGGTAGAGGAACTGAGGCCATCGGAGGAGGGCGCATGCCCTGACTGCCCAGGGAGCCGGTAACTGAGCCGGGACGGGACCCAGGAGTCCTGCCTGCCCTGGCCCTCTGCCCAACACCTTGGTTCTCTAGAACTCCCAGGAGCCTCCTGGCCTGGCCATAATATTCCTGCCTCCCAGGCCCCCTACCCCCACGCCTTCCTCTCTGTCCTTTGTCTGGTGGGTGGGGAAGGAGGCCAGCCTCAAAGGGCCTTTGTGAGGTCTTAGGGGTGTGTGTGGGGGGGGGAGACATTTGAGCTCTCTACCTTCCTCTCACTCCACCCCTTTGCTGCCCTCATCCTGCCCTCTGGCCAGCACGCAGACATTTTAGATCCGTGACTCTGGAAGGAGGCTGGCAAGGCATGGCTGGGGAAGGTTAGGCTCAGTGTGGTGAGAGGAGGAAATGCCAGCCTGCCTGGGCTCAGCATTCCCCTGCTGTGTGATCCTGGTGGAGTCACATGCCCTCTCTGGGCTCCTTTCCCTGCCAGAGGAGGAACAGAGCCTCCCTGCCCTGCCTGTGGAGGCTGGTGACAGAGGGCTTGTGGTGGTTGGTGTTGACAGGGAGATATCTGAGTGCACCCCAGGGCTGGTGGTAAGGGATGGGTTCTGGCTTTGGGAGGCGGAGTTCAAGGCCAGGGACAGCTGAGGGGGGGTGGGATGAGGAGGTGAGATGGGGTGGACCAGGGTGTAATGGTGGTTGTGTAAGCAGCCTGCTAGTTGGTGTGGGGCTCGTCCTGTGGTCAGGCGGTCAGGACGGCTGGTTGGTGGAGCAGGAAGTCAGGCCCGGCTTGCCCCAGGCGGATGGGGCGAGGCCAGCCCAGTGGGGTGGCCATTAACTCCCAGCTGCTTGGTCCTTGGCCAGTGAGTTGGAACTTTGTCCTAAGGCAGCTGTGTTTCTGTGGAGTCTTACTTCCTGTGGCCTGTGACCTGACTTTATAAATAGAGTGAAAGCCTCTTTCTGGATAGCCCCTGGGAAGGCCTTCTTCACTCCCATCCCACTTTCAGCCCTTCTCTTTAAGTTGCTCAGTGTCATGGTCTCTCTCTTCTTGAGGATCTCAGTTAGGCTCTCTCCCTGCTGGCCTGGTGGCCTTCACTTTGCATTCTCCCAAAATGGAATGTGAAGGCTCGTTTTTGAGCTAGGTGAACTTGGCCCCACCTCCCAGGAGGGGCATGGGAGGTGTAACCTTGAATAAGTCACTTCCCCTCCCTTGGCCTCAGTTGCTTCATCTCTAAATGGGGAGACTAACTCCTGCCGATCATGGTTTCTGGGGGTTGAGATGACTCGAGGTATCTGTGGTGTTACACATGGGAGCCAGAGGCCCCGGGTCCCTCTCTCGCCCACCTGCTCCCTGCCATCCCTGGTTGGGGACGGAGAGCTGGCCCTGCCTGGAAAGACCCATCTCCTGTGGACTCTGTGGGTGGAGCCAGGCCTCGTCCACCTCATTCCCCACCCAGGGCACCTGCCTTGGGCCCACACCCTCGTCCTTCCTCTAGGTTCATTGTTTCTTTGTTCCTTCCAGTTTGGTAAAGGCCTGCTGGCCTCCCCCACAGGCCTGGCCGGGGAGATAAGAGAAGGAGACTGTCAGTCAAGGCCTGTGACTCAGGGGGAATCCTGAGGGTGTGGACGTGTGAGGGCCTTCCTCCTTTCTCAGGCCAGGGCCTTTGTAGGGGGTCCCTTTTCATCTCTGTGGGAAACGAGTACCCCCTACCCCATCTAGCACTCTGCCTCTCCTCTTGTCTGGAAATAAGTTTGCAGGTCCTTTGGTGGAACCAAGAAGGGAGCACATAGGGGTTCTACAAACAGATGGCAGTTTTAGAGGCCCCCCCCCGGAATTCTCCCCCTAGTGGCCTGGTGGTCCCCAGCCCCCAGTCCTGGGCTCACGTTCATCACACCAGCACCCGGAGAAGACCCCACTCCTTGGCTGTGCTGGAATATAGGCCCCTTTATGCCACGGAACAGATAGTTTCGCTGGGGCTGGCCATCTGGGCCTCGGCCCTGCCCGGGAACAATTCCCTTCTGGGCACATGCTCAGAATGCCTTGCAGGACCGGATTGCTGGGGGCGGAGAGGTAGTGTGGGGTGGGCGTTCCTCCTGAGAACCTGCCCTTTTTGCCCTGTCCCAGGCAGACGTACTGCTTTCTTCTTGGGCCTTACTGTCCTGGGTCATGGGGTCGGCTCCTGCCGGGATCTTAGATTGCAGGAGGGCGGGAGACGAGGGCCCAATGTGCCTGGGTCCGCTGTCTCGGGGCGTGCCTGTTTGTACACTGGGCCTGCACACCCGAAATTCTTGTCGTGCCCTGGAGGCAGACAGTTCTGGGCTATGCCCCATGTCCAGTGGAACTGGTCTGATGGGCTGAGGGGCCGAGAGGTGACTGCTGATGTAGAAGGCCGTGCCCCGGAGAGAGGTCCATGGAGCATTAGAGCCGTCACCTCCCAGCCCTGGGAGATGACTTGGTCCAGGGCTCCCTGAAGATGCCTGTTGGGCCCAGTCGTGCGTGCCACTCTGCCTTCCCTTGTTCCGGGGGAGCCTTCCTGCGGCCCAAGCAGAACCTGCTAGGCCCTGCTCTTGACGCTGGTATAGTAGGCGGAGCTGGGCTTGGGCCCTGTCCTGGAGCTCGCAGGCTGGTGCGGGTGGGGGTGACCCCGAGTGTGAACAGTGATAGAAGGGAGCACACGTGGCCAGGAGCCTAGGGAGCATGTGTCAGAGGTGGCATGTGTCTCAGTACTGTGGCTGGATCCCATCTTGGGGGGAATTTGGAGTCCCCATTTCTTTCTGGAGACCTCCCTACCCACCGTCCCTCTCCTTGCCTGCTCTGTTGGTGTCACTGCCTCCAGGCAGCCTCCTCTGATCTCTCTCTGGCTTCCTGTTGTCATGGCTGCTGGCTCACATGGAGGGTCATAGTCAGGCTTTTCCTCCTCCAGGGATGGGCCCTGACTAGCTCTGTGCCCTGTGCCTACACAATAGCCCAGGAGAGATGGAAGGATAAACACAGGTCTTGAGATCCTGGCCCTCGGGGGAGGGGAGGGTCTGGGCTGCCTCTGACCCCTTGGTCTCATTGCTGTATAGTGAGAAGCCCCAAGCTGGGCTGGGGACAGGTGCGGGATTGTCAGGGAGGCAGGATGGCTTTGTGTCATAAGTCCTAGCCCCCCGGAGGCCGTGGTGCTGACTGCCTGAATTTGAATCTCACTTCACTTCTTCCTCTGTGGCGCTGGGCAAATGACTTCACCTCCCTGTGCCTTGGTTTCCTCATCTGTGAAGCAGGGAGGCCAGTGGTACCTACCTCACAGGGTGGTGTGGCACAATGCTGGGCACAGAGCCGGCGCCCACTCCTTGGGAGCTGTTCGTGTGATTGTCCATGCAGGGTATCCCCGGGTGGCTGCTGGACTCTGGGGCGGGTCCAGGTACCACCGACCTCAGCTCACGCTGGCAAGTCTTGTGCCTGCAGGTGGTAGGAAGACGCCCCAGACCCCTACCCCTTCTCGGCTCCCTGCCCGGCTGGAGGCACCCCGCTTCACCGCGGAGGCTCAGGGCAGCACTGAGCCTGGGAGCCAAGACTCCTGACCCCTATGCTCAGTCTCTCTTCAGGGGCCAGAGAAGGGTCTGGAGCCAAAGCCCCTTTCCAGGTGCCAGGGCCAGGCTGGGATGGTTGGCCCTGCCCCAGGGGTCAGCCGGAGGTCCCTGCTTAGTAGGGAGGAGACCTAGTCAGGGAGCCCAGCCCACCTGCCTTGTGTCCCATTGTCCCACTTACTGCCATGCGACCTTGGTTGTCACTGGCTCCTGGGCCTCGGCATCCTCCTCTGTGGACCACCGGCCAGTCATGTCTCTCCAGCACCTTGGCTGGGAGGATATGAAGGGGAGGGGTACGAGGAGGTCACCTCCCGTGGTGGCCATGTGGCTGGGGTCCTCCAGGTACGAAGCAGCACCCCCAGTTCCCACCCTGCTCCCCCTTCCAGGGAGGCAGGTGCTAAGTCACTGCTCTCCCTGGCTCCTGGCGCTGGTCTGCCTGTGGGCCAGGCCCTGGAGAGAAGATAAGAAGGGCGGTGGGGAGGGAGGCCAGCTTCTTCCTGCCTTTTTTCCTGATAGCACGGCTGCTCTGCAAGTTTCCAGCCTCACTGGGTTCCCATGACCTGGGGCAGAATCCCTTCGACCTGCAGCATGCCACAGTCTGTATTATGGGGACGTCACCTTATGGCTTGGCTCTGGGTCACACCAAAGTCCCATCTGGAGCTGTTCACGCCCTCAAGGGGGTTAGGGCCTTCAATCTGGCCCCCCAAAACACTGGTTTTCCCAGGCAGAGGTGGCAACAGGAATCCCAGACGCCTTAGTGAGAACCCCTAGCCATTTTCCCCTTATCCCTGTGGAGTGCCCGGCTTCTGGGATTTGTGGCGTCCCCACAGCCCTGCAGGGGTGTGCCTCCTTTGCACAGGTGAGGAAATGGAGGCTGAGAGAGGCTGAGGCGCTGGCCCGAAGTTGCACAGCCAGCAAATGTGTCTTCCTGACTGCTGCCTTCTACTGGCTGCCTGTGGTAGGACCTCAGTAGCTCTTTGTGATGGAGCCAGGCCCAGCTATGTGTGGGGCATATTGTCCAACCTCTCTGGGCCTTGGTTTGCTCATCTGTACAGTGGGCATAGTGCCCACGTCTCAGGATCACGGTGAGGATGGGTCATGGTGCCAGCAGGATGACTGGTGCATGGCAGGCCTGTCTCAGTGTTTACCGCCTCCACCTTGGGGAGCACTCCCTCCCTCTCTCTCAGCTCTGTGGAGTAAAGATGCTTCGGGACACAGGTGGGCACCTGCATGCCCCAAGCAGAGACCTGGACTGGGAAGGGGAAAGGGCACTGCCTTCCTGCCCAGCCCTGTCTCTGCCTGGCCCATTGGACCCACACTGGCCACACAAAAGACCCTCCAGGAGCTCTGCTCGGCATTGCTTGCTGTGTGTCCTTGACAAGTCACTGCCCTTCTCTGAACCTTCATTCCTTGACCATAAACTGGAATAACAACCCCACACTCCTCCATGGGGTTGAGGGTCCAGTGAGACAGCCTGAGGGTGTGCTGGCCCGGGGCCTGGTGTGGTCAGCTCCCTGCTTCTCCCCTGCCCTTGCCACTCATTCATTCTCTGTGAGTTTGCTATTTGTTTCTGCCTGGGGTCCCCACCCTCTGTGTGAATGGGGGCCCCTGAGGGTGGGCTGGGGTGGGCACTGCCAGGCTGCTGCTGCTGGGGGAGGATGGGAACTGACCCTTTGCTGGCTGGGGAAGAGCACAGAGGGCAGGCAGAAGGGGGTACCCTGGAGCCAGTCCCCCAAGCCCTTCCACAGCATCTGTTCACCCTTGAACCTCTGGCCCCGAAGGGCAGACTTCTTCATCCAGGGGAAGGGAGAAGGGCCTTCTGGGCAGCACCCGGGGGAAGCTGGATTCGGAGAAACTGACCGGCCACACTGGGGCCCCCGGTCTGCCAGGAGAGGCGGGCCAGTCTCCACACTGGCAGTGAGGTCCGCTCTTGTCTTCTCCGCAGGACATCTGTGAGGACCCCCGCCTCTTTGTGGATGGCATCAGCTCCCACGACCTGCACCAGGGCCAAGTGGGCAACTGCTGGTTTGTGGCGGCCTGCTCGTCACTTGCCTCCCGGGAGTCACTGTGGCAGAAGGTAAGGCCTGGGGTGGGGCCCTCACTGCAGGCCCGGGGAGGTGCAGCCTGAGCTGGCAGGTGTGACGTTATGAACGCCTGTGCCGGTGTGGGGTGGGGTGACACCAGGGCTCCCAGCTCTGGCTGAGCAGCAGAATCCCTTTCCCCTCACCTGCCAGCTTAGGTTCTCCAGGGCCGGGTGCTGGGACTCTGTGTGCCTCCCACGGGCATCCTGATGTGTCCCCACCTGAATGTTGGGGGCCCACAGTGTCCCTGGAGCCCCCTGGCAGAACCGGCGCCTGTGAAATGTGGAAGCTGCCTGAATCGGGTGCAGTGTGGAGCCGCCATTAGCTGGGGCTCTGGAGGCCCCCTGCCAGAACCTGCTGTATAGACTTAGCCACTCAGTCCTCGACCTTATCTTGGCCTCAGTTTTCTCCCTTGTTCAGCGGGTGTGGTCCAGCTTGTTTTGTTTCATGATTCCTGGTTCCAAGTGCTGATGTTCTGGACCAGCGCCAAGGGCTCATGATGGAAAGAACTGGCTCTGGTCCTGACACTTTGCCCTCTTGTGGTGACACTTAGAAGTGCAGCCCTTTAATCCCACAGGGAGAGCTCCCTTCCTGAGGAGGTGGGGAGGCTGGGGTAGAGGCTGGACTGCTGGTCTGTATAGAGTCCATCAGGACTGCATACGGGTTCCTGTGCCAGCAGATACAAGTCATTGCCCCCTGCTCCTCTCTGCCTTTCCTGCCCTTCCTATAAGGAGCCAGCAGCAGGCCTTACAAGCTCTGGGCATCTCAGCCTGATGGCTTAGGTTGAAGCCCTTGCCTCACCATTTGGTAGCTTTGTAATTAGTTCTGTTTACTTATACGAAAAACCAGGATATGAGGGTAGCTCCCTCTTGGAGTTTGTTAGGGCAAAACGGGAAACTGTTCTCAAAGGGCCTATGCAGTGCGGTGCTCAGCGAGTGGGGGCTGCGTTACCCATGTTTTGGTAATTAACATTCATAGAACATGATGGGTATTCCCAGGCAAGCAGGGAGCATCCACCAGCTGTCAGAGGGAGCTATGCCCTTAGCCGGGGCTGGGACTGTGTTAGGTGCCCTACTGTCATGCCTTCTGAACGGGGGTGTGATCTTTCAAAGCCACCCCAGGGTGCGTATCCCTGGGGTCTGGCTCCTGATGGTCCTGGGGGGACCCAGGTGCTGGAGAGCCCTCAGCAAAGGTCACTGCTGCAGCCTGTAGACAGGGGTGATTGTAGATATCCAGGCTGGAAGGGCCTCAGAGAGCCACATGTGGGATCATGTCACTCATGAGCCTCAAAGACCAGAGAGGGCTGGGGCCCAGTGCTGTTCTCTGGATGTAGGGCTGTCCTCGCCGTCCTTGTCTCCAGGCTCCAGGCCCCTTCTCTGAGCCCAGAACAAGTTCTCCCTGCCTCTGAGTCCATCTGCAGCTAAGTCTGGGGCTGACAGTGGCACTCAGGAATCCTGTAGGGCTGGCCCTAGACTTCCCATCCTGTCCTGTAATCCCCTGTTTACCTGTGGTCTCCCTTCTTGAGGTGAGCTCCCCATGGGCAAAGCGGGCCCAGCTGTATCTTCCCACTGAGCCCAGCAGGATCCTGGCCCAGAGAAGCCTCAAGAAAGTTCTGAGAACAGAGTCCCTTCCCAAATTGTTGGATGGAGCTGCTAGCAGCCAGTAGCACCACGGCCGCCGGCCCTCCTACCCTATGCCTCCTGGGCCTTCAGTGGGGCCAGAGCCTGGCTCACCGTATCCCTTCCTGGGAAACAGGCTCTCTGGTCATTCGTAGGGAGGAGCCTCCGCCTCCTGTGTGTCTTGTCCTGGGCCTGGCCTGCTGCAGTGAATGGAGGAAGGGAGCCGACCCTCAGGCAGGAGGACGGTCATTGAAGCTGTGGCCCATCTGTGTTTATTTGTTGCTGGGTGGGAACTTCTGCCTGCAGGGGGTCAGGGCACCTGGCCTGGCTGGTCTGGAGGCTTCAAAGACTGGGAGGCAATCTCCAGGAGCTCTGGTCCCTAGGAGGCTGGAGGGAACAAGGTGTTCTCAGCTAATTGCACTCCGCCTCCTGGTGCTGCTGTGGTGATAGCTCCTGGGTCCTAGAAGGAGGTGGGGGGCCCTGGGGAGCTTATTACTGTGCCTTACCTCCCCTCCTGTCCCTGCTGACTGGGCCCTGTTTGTTGTCACCCCTCACTTTTGGGCCTGTTGCCCTGCAGGGCCTCCCCTGCCCCACCTACCGTTTTCTCCATGGAGCAGGGGTGCCCAGCCACTCCCACTCCCCCCATCCTCCTCACTCTGGGGATGCTGAACCTCGGGACATTGGTGCACCATGCCCGCAATATGTAGTGCCCCCTCCTCCAGGAAGCCACCCCTTTACCTCTAGTTCTTGATGCAACCTGGGGCTGATGGGCACAGGATTTGAAAGCAGCCAGACCTGGGTTGGATGCTTGGTTGGATGCCCTTGTGTGACACTGGGCAAGTCAGGTTCCTTCTCCTTGTCTTGGCGTAAACCTGACCTTTCTAGTCCCCAGAGTTGTAGGAGGATAAATGGAGCCTGTGGTGGGGGAGGGCAAGCCTGTGGTATTTAGTGGCACTATACCTGTGTTCAATCCACCTCCCTCCCACCCACCCCTGGGTTCCCCACCTGTCCCTCTGTTCTAGTAGACACTTCTTGGCGGTGGGCCTCTCCCTCTTGTGGGATCCCTGGTAGGGGCATTATGGTCTGTCCATTCTCTGAGGGCAAGACAGTGGATTTCAGGTGACTGGGTTTTGTGGGCCAGGAATCAGGATGTGACAGTGGGCTGGAGCATTTGCCATTAGGCCTGGTTCATTCTGGGTGCTCACCTCCCCCAGAGCCTGGTGCAGGCCCAGGCGTGGGGGCAGGCCCGATCCCTGCTCTGAGCCTCGAGCCTCGGGTGCCCCTCGAGCCTTGGAAAGCCGAGCAAAAGTGAGTCCCTGGCTGTCTGAGAGGGAGGATTGGGGGGTGGCCGACATGTCCCCCCGGTATCTGCGCAGCTCATGCCCGTGAGCTACAGAGCAGGTCATTCAGCCCAGGTAACGGGGCACCAGATGTACCCCACGCCATTTCCAACATTGGGGATAGAAGATGTACACAGGTACTGCGTCACTGAAGGCTTGCTTTAGCCGGAAACAACCGGTGTTGGGGTTTACCCTGTTTCCCTCTAGACTGTTTCTCCCGTTGGGGTTCAAGAGGCATTTGCATTGCTTTTCGGTACACAGTTTTGCAGTCACGTAGGCAAGTTTGGAACCTGTTCTCCTCCTCTGTTCATTCCTACTCCAGGCTCTAGTGGGTCTTCCCAAGGTGTCCAGTGGCCAAGCAGAGAGCCATGGGTGGCCCTGGACCTGGCCCCACCTGCAGCCTTCTTCCTGCTTTCTCTCCTCCCTTCCCACTCTGGCCTCTCCGGCCTCACCTTTTTGAGGCCCAAGCCCTGGAAACCTTCCACCCTCAGCCTCCTCCTGCTGGTCGGCAGCTGGCCCAGGCTGAGCCCAGGCTCTCCCCAGGGTCATATAACCCCTGGGTCTCCCCGGCATCCTGCAGGTCCAGAGATGAGGTGGGCATTCTTACTCCCCTTGGTGCGGCTTCCAGGACACACCCCCCCACTTGGCAGCCCCTATAGGCTGATGCCCTTGGCTCTCCACCACCCGGCCCTGCCCACCTTGTTGCCATTCCTTGTGGAACAGCTTCTACCCGGGCACCAGGGGCTTGGAGCCTCCAGTCTCCCAGCCTTTTCTGCCCAATGCTGCTGTGTCCCAGGGATTACCACACCCATGTGGCTGACACCCTGCCCTCATCATCCCAGCCTCAGGTCCTGTTTGCGGCTCCATCAGCCTTTACCGTCAGCAGCCTCGGCCTCCTCTCTCCATGGCGGCCACAGCCCACGCCCGCATCTGCCCTTCCCGCAGGTGTTCTGCTGAAGGCCCAGTCTCCCTGGCCTCACCTTCCAGGTGTGTCCGTCATCCTGCACTTTAATACACACCTGCCCCTAAACCTCATTTTGGCTTCGGTCAGTGTTTGTGTACTCTCCCCATATGCACATCTTTGCCTCTGGCTGGCGTTGGCCTTGGGCCCTATCACATTAGTTCTCTTCTTAGTGCCATTCATTCATTCAATCATTCAACAAGTGTCTTCTGAGGGCCTCCTATGTGGCAAGCCCTGTTCTAGGTGCCGGCTTAACTCCACAATAATTCCTCAGCTGTGTTGCTTCCCTCTCTTCTGCCCCTGAAGCTACAGAGGGAAAGGTTCTGGGAGGGTCAGGCAGCTTGAGGTCTCGCATCCTCTCGAATGCCCTTGGGGGACTGCCCCCAGCAGCCTCCAGAACTGACCTCAGTTGAGATGTTTACAACAGGACCAGCTGCTGGGTGACCTCCTGCTGATCACGTGGCCAAGATCCCACTGACTGATTTAGCCTCCATCTAGCAGTTACTATGCTTGTGGTCCACTAGACCCTCCAGATCATTTTCAGTTGTTACACTTTGGCCTGTGCCTCTGTCCTCTTTTCTGTGTGTGGCGTGTCATGGCAGCTTCCCCTTTCCCCTCTCCCCCTCCCTCACATATTCCAGTTCTTCCATTTACTAGAATATGCTAGCTGAGCCCCTGCTTCCGCCTCAGCCACTGTGGAACAGATGCTGTCAGATTCTTTCTCAGCCTCAGGTCTCCTAGGGGGAAACTGAGTCTTGATGTGGATGGAATTAGTGCTGGGATTCATTGGAGAGGAGGCAGGGCCAGTGGACAGGACTCCTGTAGGTCAGTGATTCTCCCAGTCCCTGGACCAGCAGCATCAGCATCCCCCAGGAGGATGGCAGAAATGCAGATTCCTAGGCCTGGTCAGCCCTGTTCAATCAGAAGCAGTGGGGGTGGAGCCTAGCGATCATGTTCTAGGTCCTGCAGGGGATTCTGATGAGATCTAAAGTTTGCCAGCAGGATTAGGTGAGAGATGGAGGTGGCCAGGCTGGTCCTGGCACTGGGGCTTGACTGGAGGGCTCCCAGGGCCCCTGGGAGGCGGAACGAAGGCCTTGGCGGTTGAGTGTGGAGGGCTGAGGGTGAGGCTGAGCTGAAGGTGAGGTGGCTTCAGTTTCTGGCTGGGGTGGAACCTCTCCCAACAGCAGGCCCCCTCTGTTCCTTGTCCTCCCTCCCCTCCTGCCAGGGGGTCTTGAAGCCTCTCCAGCGCACCCCTCCCCAGCTCCCTCCCCTTCTTACTGCCCCAGGCACCCTCCCTTCTTCACAAACAAGTCCTTCTGTGGGAGTCAGGTTGTCAGGGCTGTTACCACAGCAATTGACATCAGCAGCCTGGTCCCTGAGGAACCTGTCGCCCTTCTGCCCGCTGGCTATGCCTCAGTTCCTGCCTCTTGGAGGAGGAGAGAGAAGGCGTGGGGGGCCTCCCACCCCCATTTTGAGCACGGGGCAGGGCAGGGCCAGGCTGGGCCTAGGGACAAGGAGAGGGGAGGGGCTGGGGGAGGGCCAAAGGGTAGGCGGGGCATCCTAGGGGGCCTCTGGCCCTGGCGGTGAGGCCCCTGCACACAGGGCACACGGGGCTCCTAGGCAGCGTTGCAGCAGCAGCACCCGGCATGGCGGAGGACGGGCCGAAGCAGCCGCAGCTCAGCATGCCCCTGGTCCTGGACCAGGACCTGACCAAGCAGATGCGGCTGCGCGTGGAGAGCCTGAAGCAGCGCGGGGAGAAGCGCCCGGACGGCGAGAAGCTGCTGCGGCCGGCTGAGTCCGTCTACCGCCTGGACTTCGTCCAGCAGCAGAAGCTGCAGTTCGAGCGCTGGGACGTGGTGCTGGACAAGCCCGGCAAGGTCACCATCACGGGCACCTCCCAGAACTGGACGCCCGACCTCACCAACCTCATGACGCGCCAGCTGCTGGACCCCGCTGCCATTTTCTGGCGCAAGGAGGACTCGGAGGCCATGGATTGGAACGAGGCCGACGCCCTGGAGTTTGGGGAGCGCCTATCGGATCTGGCCAAGATCCGCAAGGTCATGTACTTCCTCATCACCTTTGGCGAGGGCCTGGAGCCCGCTGACCTCAAGGCCTCTGTGGTCTTTAACCAGCTCTGACGGCTGCTGCTGGCTGCCTCGCCCTCCCCATGCCTGCCCGCCACCCCCGCCCCTGCGGGTTCTCCCTTACCCCAGGCGTGTGTTGGAGGACATTCTTCTAGCTGCTGATCTGCCCTCAGCATGCCCAGGACCCTCTGAGCCTGTGTGCTTCCTCCTCTCCTTTCCCTGGTGCTGGCATTCCTGCTTCCATGAGGAGGATGCAGAGGTCCTGTAGTCTAGAAGCTGTCCTGGCTGCTGCTGCTTCTGCTGTAGACCATGAAGGCCTGGTGGGGCCCAGGGCATGTGCCTTCCCTCTGCTTCGTTGTCCAGAGAGAGACTCAGAGAGACTGACAGAGACAGACAGACGCAGAGAAAGAGATCCAAAGCACCAGCCTTCGGGCTTCCTCAGGAGACGGAGAGACAGACGACAGAGCGGCCTCCCTGGGGGATCACTGCTCTCCTGGCTGCAGTGCCCTTCGCTGAATCCCAGAGGTGAACAGTGAGCCTGAGGACCCAGGAAGGCACCGCTCCTGGCCCGGGCCTGGCATGGTCCCGGGATGCTTCGGGGCCCCAGGACTTCAGGCAGCATTGTGGGGGCTGATCTGGGGCAGTGGGGAGCTGCTGGCAGGCTCGAGGCTGTGCTTGCCAGCTCCTGCCCTACTGGGGATGACTTCATGGGGGTAAGTGGCAGGGAGGGGACATGTGAAAAAGTTACGTAGAGATGCATCTATCTGTACGTGTGCTTATATACTGAGAGAGCATGCTGTGTTCATGGCTATGTTCTAGAGCCTGTACCTGCGAGCAAGTCTGATTTTAGATGATCTACTATGTATTGCCCAATTGGTTCATGGGTGGCCCTTAGTAGAGACTTGGTCCGGATGACCTTGGGGAGGGGGGCTCCTGAGCTGAGAGCCTCTGAGGTTCATACAGTGAAGCAGGGAACAGCATAGTGAAGGGATTTCCCTCTGCCAGGGGGAAGCAGGAGAGAGGGGTCCAGAGCCCTGGAGCTGGAGTCAGTAGATTCTTTGGGGAATCAGTATCCCTGCTGGGAAGTGAGGTTTTTCCCTGCTCCCTGGGCAGGAAAGGCTCAGGCCCCAGGGGCACCTCAGGAAGTACCCCCAACACCCTGTCTGTCTCTAAGCCAGCTCTGGGTGGGTTTTTTTTTTTTTTTTTTTTTGTCAGAAAGAGGCTCATGACACTTTGCTCATGAAGCAGACCCAGCGAGGGCCACAGGGCCCAGCGAACAGACGCACTGGGAGAGGGCGAGAGCCATCCACAGTGGCTGGAGCTGCTGGGAGGGTGAGCCCCATTCGAGGCGTGCAAACAGAAGCGGGGTTTGGGAATGGGCATTCTTTAGGATTGGCTGTGGTGTTTCTGACACTCCGCTCGAGGGTCTGTTCCCAGCGGGGCTTGAAGTCCCAGTCTGATGGCCAGTAGGGCCAGCCGGAACCCCAGAGATGGCCCTGCCCTTCGCCTCTCTGCTTGACCTCCCCCTGCAGCTTGGGGGACCCTCTTGGTGCAGACTGCCTGTACCCTCACCCTGAGCCCCCACATCCACTCCTTGTACTATGTGTCCCCAATAAAGCCTCTGTGCCCTCACCTCGTGGTGTGCAGTGTCTCACCGCGAGCCACCCCTGCCCATCCCCTCAGGAGCTCTGACAGCCCTCTCCAGTCCCCGCAGAGCCCTGAGCATCCCCTCCTTGGCCTTTTCCCGCATTCCCACACCCTCCCCCGGCTGCTGTCAGAGATGAGGCCTGGAGCAGTCAAGGGACTGGCCCACGGTCAGACATCAGGATAGAGTTAGAACCAGGTCTCCTGATACTCAGTGGGGTACCAACACCCCTGGTAGGTTTTTCCCCAGGAGCCCCCAGTACAGCCTCTGTCTGAAGCGTGGGGACATGCTGAGGCCACTGAGAGGTGCCATCAGGTCCTCAGCAGGTGGGGCCCAAAGGGGCTGTGTGGGGATGCACCAAGCCACACATAGTCTCCAGGGCCCCTCACTGGTGGGCTGGCTGGCCAGGGGGCAGACGGGATGGGAAGTGGCAGGGGTGGGGTGGGGCTAGGCCTACATCGCCAATTTAATGCATGTCCTCAGGCAGCCCCTGCCCCGCTGACCAGACAAGAATGATGTTACTACATCCCTTTAGTGCCCACTTGGCCCTTCTCTAGAGCTCTTTCCCTTTTCATCTCTCTGGAGCTCACTCAGTTTTAGGACAGAGACAAAGAGGCCTGGAGGATGAAGCCATCTGCCTAAAGTCACAGAAGGCGTGGAGGGGTCAAAGGAGGTGGCTGTGTTTGGACCAGGCTCTGGGTCTGCGGCCCCCTCAGGTGGGCAGGGGGAGGCCTGCTTCTTCCCAGTGATGGAGGTCACTTCTTGCTTCAAGGGCCACACTTGAGGTTTTGCCTAGGAATGACCGTTTCTTCAAAAGGATCCATACAACCAGATCTCACTTCCCAGTCCTTCACCCCGGAGCCCTCCCCAGAGCAGCTGTGGCCATCTTGTTTCCCTTCCTGAGCCCTGCCCTTCCAGCCCTGGCCTCCATCCACTCCTGAAGATCCCTGTGGAAGGGGTGGGGGCAACAGAGCCCAGCCCTTCCACTCCTGCTCCCCTCCCTAGCTTGACAGCCGACACTGGGCCGGGAGGATGCCAGGAGTGGGAAACAAGGACCCATTTTCCATGGAACCCACAGGAGACCGTAGAGAGAAGAGACCTGCCATCTCCTGAGCTTCTTCCTCCCACTGAGGCAGCGCGTGCCGTGCTGAGGGGCCTGCCACTGACCACCTGTGTGACCCTGTTGGCAGGGACTAACGATGATGCTTCCTTGTACGGCGGCCCTTGTGAAGTCTGAATGGGTTCATGTTAGTGAAACTCTCAGGGCCTCAGGAAGTGGCCACACAGCACCGTCTCTCCATTTGCTCTTTGTGACTCTCCCAGTCACTTGAGACACACAGTCTTTTCAGTTATTTTGAGAGGATTGTCAGGAGTACCTATTTACAGAGGAGCAGCACAGTGGGTTTCCTGAGGTAGCCCAGCAGTCCAGTGCTTCTGGGAGCAGGTGGTGTGGGGTGGAGGGATGGACAGGGGCCAGGCCTGGCCCTGGTTGGAGTGGACGAGGGGGCATGGATTCTCCTGTGCCATCATCACCAGGCTCAGGATGGCCCAGCAGAGGGGATCTTTAGACTGCATGGTGTAGCTGGGCAGGCCAGCAGGAGGGGGCCTGCCCTGACCGTGGAGTCCTGCCCTGATCCTGGAGTCGTGCCCGGGTCTCTGAGCGTACAGCTGGGCCCTGTGGATGGGAAACCCCAGACCCCTGCAGATGCATCACATCCTCACTCTGCGTGGGGAGCGACGGGGCTCTGCTTTCCCAAGGGTGTGGGGAGTAGGGTTGGGGGACCCAAGCTTCCTGACCTCTTCCTGTCAATGGCCTCTGAAACCTGGGAATTTGAGACTCTTGCAATCAGAAGCTGAGAACTGAGGAGCTTCAGGTGCTTGAAACCAGGAACCCTCTATTTTACCCACCTGACTTGGGTAACACAGGCACCACCTGCCCCCTGCAACCCTTCAGACCTCAGCCCTACCGGCCTTGGGCGGAAATGCCCCCAGCTGGCCCTCTGGGCTCCCGGGCAGAGATCTGTGACAGTGCCTTCCCTGTGCCATGCTTGCATGCACGCTGACACTCACAGACACGTGATGCCCGTGTGCACACGCACATACACTGGTGCTCACACACACGCGTGCTGTTTACACCACGTGCACTGGCATTCATGCACTCGCACACTCAATGCAGGCATGTCCTACTGGCTCAGAGTCCGAGGGGAATTTGAGCCGGGAGTGCTCCAGGCCCTGGGGCCCCACGGTGCCTGCCTTGCCTGAGCTTTCTGGGCTGATTCTATAGTGGGTGCCAGGGGCTTTCCAAATCCTCCATAGTCCTTGCCTTGCTACCAGCTCAGCCCAAGTACGTGCGTTGAGCCCTCAGGCCTCTCTTTTCCCATCTGCGTGGGGGGGCTGTTGCTGAGGTTCCCCTTGGGAGGGAGGCTGCCCAGGTCACCTGAGCCCCTTGCCAGCCCCAGGGTTTGCAGGACGTTGTGTGGGTGCACGCACTTGTCCTGTGTTCCCCAGCGGGATGAGCCCTCCTCACAGGTGTCTCCACAGTTAAGGGCTCCACGTGAGCCCTCCACAGTTAAGGTGACACCCCCAAAGCCACTGTCAGTCCTGGGTCTCCCAGCAGCCCTGGGGTAGGGGAGCAGAGGCCGGCATTGAGGCTCAGAGTGGCGGCCAGTTGAAGCGAAGTCCCGGCCATGCAGTGTGGTTGGGCAGAGGTCCAGTAGCGGCTGCAAGGTCACTGGTTGGACAGGGCCTTGCTGCGGCTGGCACTTGGAGACTTTTCTTCCACAAAGACTTGTCCAGTTGGGGAGCCTACCTCTCTATGCAGGGCGTGGGGGGATCTGGGGGTGAGTGGGGCTCCGCCCCGCCCTCCAGAAGCTCCCTTCTGGAAAGGGAAAGAGCCTGGGGAGGGGCTGCCCTGGGAGCACCAGGCCCGGAGAGCCCTGCATACTGCTGCTCAGCTCACCCCCAAGGGACAAGGAAGGTAACGGAGAGGGAGCCACGTGTGCAGAGCCGAGGTGGCCTGAAGCATCACGGGCGTAGATTTTCTGGGAGCCCGAGGTGGGAGGCGGTATTGGGGGGTGAGGCCGAGAGGGTCAGCAGAGCTTCAGGGCTGTGACTGCTGGGCCAGGGAGCTGGTGGCCCTGGGGATGGGGCATTTTAGCTGGAGACAACATGGGAGGAGAGAGATGGCTTACTGTGCTCCCTGCTGCCCGTCCCTCCACCTCAACAACTGTCAGCTTGCTGCCACTCTTGTTTTCCTCTTATTCCCCTCCCCCCACGCCCTCCAGGCAACATATCATTTCATCTGTAAATATTTCCCAGTGCATCTCTGGGTAATAAGGGGTCGTCAAAAACAAAATAAAATAAAACAAAAACAAAACTCTGTAACCGCAATATTAGAACAACTAAAATAATTTCACATTTCATGGTAATTCCCTCATAGCATCAAACGCCCAGTAGGAGTTTTGGTTTCCAATTTCTGCCATAAATGTGTGTGTATGTATGTTTTAATTTTATTTAAATTCAATTAACCAACATAGAGTACACCATTAGTTTCAGATATAGTGTTAAATAATTCATCAGTTACTTCTAACACCCAGCGCTCATCATGTCACGTGCCCTTCTTAATGGCCCTCACCCAGCAACCCATCCCCCCAACCTCTCTCCTTCCTCAACCCTCAGTTTGTTTCCTTTAGTTAAGAGTTTCCATTGGTTTTCTCCCTTCCCGATAAATTCCCATTAGTTTTCCCTCCCTTCCCCTGTGACCCTCTGAGCTGAGCTGTTTCTATATCACACATGAATGAAACCACATGGTAAGTCTTTCTCGGACTTAGTTCACTCAGCATTATCCCCTCCAGTTCCACCCACGTCGACGCAAATGGTAAGTATTCATCCTTTCTGATGGCTGATTAATATTCTGTTGTGAGTATATATCACAACTTCTTTATCCATTCACCTGTCTGTGGACATCTTGGCTCTTTCCAGTTTGGCTATTGTGGACATTGGTATGAACATTGGGGTGTAGGTGGCCCTTCAGATCACTGCATATATTACAAAGCTGTGACCATCAAGGCGGTATGGTACTGGCACAAAACAGACACATAGATCAATGGAACAGAATAGAGAACCCAGACACAGATCCTCATTTTCTCTATTTTTTAAGTGTCTTCTATTTTACTGATTCCTGCTATCTTTATTCTTTCTTTCCCTTTACTTGGGGAAATTTTTTTTTTTTAGACTCTTGAGGTAGAAATTTCTTCAATATTAAACCTTTTCTTCCATCCATCGTTGGCTTGGTTTTCATGGTGGTGTTTCAAGTGTTCTCTCTGCCCCGCATTTCCTGTAAGCGCGGACCTCCCCTAGTGGTTCTGTGAGGTTCAGGCACAAGTTTTTGGCATGCTTCACAGGAGACCTTGCGTACTTCTCTCACAAGGCACGTGATGGCTGCTCGTCTCTCTTTTTTGTGATGTTAGAAGCCGTCCATGACCATTGCTAAATCCATTATTTGCCAGTGGTCGTAAAATGGTGAGAGTCTCATATTCTAGTCTCTTCCTCATTTCTGAAGCTCATCTCCAGATACAAACCTCCCTTCATCTGCTGCTCTTGGTTCCCCACTGGCCCAGTGGGATAAATCCTGATTCTTTCCCTTAATTTTCCAGTTTTAAAAGAAAAACGAGTTGATTCCCAGCTATCCTCCAAGAGTGACTGATGACTTCTTGTGAGTATCGTTGTGGTCTTGTAGATGGGAACCTGTCTGATGTGTTTTGATCCATTGCAGTAATTACTCTTACTGATGCTGCACTTGGCCTGTCTCTGGCCAGTGGGAGCCTCTGTAGGTTGGTCTTAGAATCCTGTGATGTGGCCTGAGGGTCTTTGGTTGCTTCCTTGATTCCTGGTATGACTGGACGTGGTGTGGAAGCTTTGAGTTTGAGGGCCTGTATGAGTACACCTTCTTGCACAGTGTCCTCCTCCTCGCTCAGGACCCTGCTGGCAGCAGAGGGAGTGTGGGATAAGAAACCAGCCATGCTAGGCTCACCGGCCGTGATGTAGGAGGGGAAACTGAGGCCCATGGGGATCCCTGACTCAGGATCTCCAGGCCCTAGAGCCTCATTAGCTGCTTCCTGAGCCACAGAGGGTGCAGGGCCAAACCCCAGGTTTGGCTAATGATCCTTCTGCATCTCCAGCAGTAGTCCCAGGGCCCTGTGAGGGCTCCTCTTCCTCCCTCCCCAGCCCCCGTGCAGTCCAGAGCTTTCAGAGCAGGGGGTAGTGGGGGAGGGTGCATGGGCCTGGCTGGTGTGCTCAGCTTCGGACTCCCTATCCCTCGGTGCCCTTGGGCAGCTCCTCATCTCTCCACCTTCTCATCTGTGCAGTGGGGATGATAAGCCACCCTGCATGTGCCCCATTTTGATACAGCTTTCTGTCTTGAAAGCAAAGTGAGAGAGGGTGCTGGGTGCTGGGGCAGAGGCTGGCCTGGGAGGTTTACGAAAGAACACAGGATTGATTGAAAAGGGACCACCGGGCAGTGTCGAGTTCTTGCTGGGTTCCAGATGCTGTGCGAGGCCCTGAAGCCCCGAGTGTGAATCCTGCCTCCCTCCCCGGTCCTCATGGGCAACACTGCGCCAGCAAATTCCCATGGTATTGCCCTGAGAGGTGGTGGGAAGGGCGGGGGGCTGCTGAGCAAAGAGCCTGGTCTGTGTCTAGCCTCGGGCAGACCTCTGCCGCTGGCAGCTTCATTTGCTTGGTCTCCAGTGTCTCACAGGGACCGTTTGTCTTTGCCAACATCCCTGTTGATGGTAAGAGGTGTGTAAACAAAAACCCTCTTAATGAGTGTGGGGGTTGGGGAATGGCTTTTGGCTAAAGTATCTGTGCACAGGCTGGTCTGGGCCTTGGGATTTATGGCCTCCTGATGTATCTCTGGTTTCTTGGCCTGGATGCCTGCATGCCCACCCCCATCCCTGAGGGTGGTTTTCTTCCAGAAGGAGCTGCCCATGGTCCCAGCCCCTGCCTTGGTCCCATGCTGGGGAGGGCCCGCAAGTCACCTGACTCTAGGGTGAGGGGATTTCCCTTCTCTGTCCACCTCCTGCTGCCCAGATTTGCCTCTTTCCACCAGACTAGAGGCCTCCTGAGGGCAGGGACCATAGCTGATTCACCTGGGTCCTAAGTGTCAGCACAGGTCCCCTGCAGAGTGGTCTGCAAGTCACAAGTCTGAATCCTGGTTTCAAACCCAGGTCTGTCTAACTCCAAAGAATGTGTGATTTCTGACTGTGTGACCCTGGGCAAGTTGTTTGCCCTCTCTGAACTTCAGGGTTTTTTAGCTGTAAGGGAGGGATAGATGATGATAATCTATGCACACGGTTATTGTGCGAATTAAACTGAGATAATCTGTGGTGGTTGCAAACGTGGCACCTGGCGTGTCCCAGATGTTCCATAAATAATATTGTTAGAGATCCAATCAATGCCTGTGAATTTTAACACCTGTTGATCGAGCACCATCTCTGGGCCAGGCCCTGGACAAGGTGCTGGGCATATGGCAGTGACCAGGCCTGATGTCTTGCTGCCCTCAGAGAGCTAGACTTCCAGTGCTAATAACAGAATTGAGCGGGGTGACACATGCTTGTTTAATTATAATTGTGGTAATGGTCCCCGAGAAGGGCCAGGGCCATGAGTTGGACAGATGGGGTCCTAGCCTAGTCTGAAAGGTCAAGGAGGGCTTCCTGGAGGAGGAAGTGGGTCCTAAAGGGCAAGTGAGAATCAGCTGAGTGAACAGGAGAAGGAAGAGCAGGTGCAAAGTTCCTGAGCAGAGAAAGAGCCAGGAGCAGGGAGCAGGGGCTGAGCGGGTAGAAAAGCCAGCCCGGAAGTTGGTGGCGGGACAGCGCACCTTAAGGATTTGGACTCACTTCCCAGGAAGGTGACATGATCAGAAAGATAGATCACTGTGCTGCTGTGTGGGCCAAGGGCACGTGTTGCGGCTGGTGCTGTTAGAGGGTTCTGGGCTGGGAGGTGGGGGCTGGTCAGGCTGGCGCCAGGGGCAGACGGGAGATGGATTTTAGCAGAATGTAGGAGCTCAGATTGCCCGGGTAGGATGGACTGAGGTAAAAGGAGGGGCCGCTCAGGCTGGACTGGATGCTGGCAGCGCCAGTCACCAGATGGGGACTGGGAGGGATGTGGTATGTTTCTGAGCGGGGACGACGCAGAGGGAGGCACCAGGAAGGGCGCAGGAAGCTCCTAGAGTCTTAGAGTGACAGCTGGCAGGAGCCTACACCTAACCACTGTGGAGAAGGGAAACTGAGGCCCAGAGATGAGAAGTGTGCACCCGAGTCCCACGCTCGTTCATGGCAGAGATGGGGACAGGACCCACTATTCCTTTCTCCTTTGATTCCCTCCAGGCAGCCCGCCCCCGCCGTGTCCTCAGGAAGCCAGATGTGACCCGCACTGTGTTCCCGTCCTGTTCCCTTTCCCGTCCAGGTCATCCCAGACTGGAAGGAGCAGGAGTGGGACCCTGAGAAACCCAATGCCTATGCAGGCATCTTCCACTTCCACTTCTGGCGCTTCGGGGAGTGGGTGGACGTGGTCATCGACGACCGGCTGCCCACGGTCAACAACCAGCTCATCTATTGCCATTCCAGCTCCCACAACGAGTTCTGGTGTGCCCTCGTGGAGAAGGCCTATGCCAAGTAGGTACAGGCAGGGGGCTGGTGGGTGGGGGACCAGCCTGGGGCAGCTCGGCTTCCGGGCTCTGCGGGGCTGCGCCTCCAGCTCGCGCTCTGTGCACAGAGAGACGAGGGGCTGCTTCAAAGTCACACAGCGCGCTCAGAGCCTGGGAACCCAGGGCATGGCCAGCTGAGCCTGCACTGTGGCCGGGGCCGGGGGCAGGGACAGGGAGACCTGGACTGTAGATCTGTTATCAGGTCTCCTATCCCCAAAACCCACCCACGCAGGGAAGAATAGCTTCTTATTCTACCTGAGAGGGCAGAGCCAGCACTCACATTCGGGTTGCTGGGTTTTCCTCTCAGATCCAAGCTGCCAGGCCCTCTGTGGAGCCTGGCTGGGATGTGGGCTCTCAGAGCCCTGGCTGGTTGTGGAGCATGGGCCCTCCCTGCCCTTTGGGCTCCTCTTCGTCCACTCATCCATCTGTCTACCTGACTGACAGTCCGTCTGTTCTGTCTCCACCGACCCCCACTCCTGCTCTGTGCCAGGCCCTGTGTCCCCAGCATGGGCCCCAGCGAAAGCTGGCCAAGCTGTGGAGGGCTTTGGGGCAGAGTGACCTGCTTAGGCCCCTGCAGGTCGGGGGCAGGCCTGGGGCAGGAGGGCGAGTGGGGTCGGAGACCAGCCCACAGGCTCTGTGGGAACCTCTCCCTGGTTCTGCCTCCCAGGCCCACCTGTTGGTCTCCTGTGTGACTATCTGTGTGTGTGTGTGTGTGTGTGTGTGTGTATGTGTGTGTGACAGGAAAAGGAAAGACACCAACTTTCAACATCAAAAACAAACTCAAGAAAACACAACATTGACAGATTTCCATTTTCAGTCCAAAGGGAGCCAATCTCGCCCCCTGCTGTGCCCTGAGTCTCCAGGGCCCTAGCTGCCAGGGTGGTGGCCGGCGGGGGGCTTCCCTTTCTGGGAGTGCCCCTCACTAGCCCCTCAGTAGCAGCTTTCTCCTTCGGTCTCTGCGTCTGTCTATTCCCTCTGGATCCTATAAGCGGAATCCTACAGTATTTACCCTGTCGCATCTGGCTTATTTCTCGGCGCGCAATGCTGTCCGTGCTCACTTCCGTTGCAGCATGCCGCATGTCCTTCCTGTCTAGAGCAGCACAGAATTCCATTGCGTGGATAGGCCCCACTTCGTTTCTCCATTCATCTGTCGGTGGACTCAGGTCGTTTCCACCTTGGGCTTTGGCGAACATACCACTGTGTACATGGGTGTGCAGGTGTCCCTCCGAGTCTCTGCTCTCAGCTCTTCGCAGTGTACACCTGGGAGTGAGCTGCGGGATCTCATGGGAGTTCTGTGTTTGAATTTTTCAGTGACTGCTCGACTGTCTTCCACAATAGCTGCGCTATTCATGCTTGCTTGTTCATTTATTTACTTTTAAAATTGTAAAATGAATGCGTGTCTCTTATAGCAGATCCAGCAAATATAGAAACCCAGGAAGAAGGTAATAAAAGTCGCCTGTGCTCCTGCATATTTTTCCAGGCCTCTCTACTTCTCTGTTTGGGGCCACCTGAGTGAACCAGGCTCCCTGCCTTCTGGAACCTTCGCTCCCCTCCCTTCCGAGGCCTGGCTGCCCACTTCTGTCTCCCTCCCTGTACTTCATGTGTCCTCTCCACACCCTCCCCGCCACTTAGCAACTCCTTTAATATATTTTTTTAGGGGCGCCTGGGTGACTCAGTTCATTAGGCAGCTGCCTTTGGCTCAGGTCTTGATCCCAGGGTCCTGGGATCGAGTCCCACATCCGGCTCCTGGCTCAGCGGAGAGCCTGCTTCTCCCTCCCACTCTATCTGCTGCTCTCCCTGCTTGTACTCTCCTTTTCTGTTAAATGAATAAATAAAACCTTAAAAAAATATTTAAAAAATTTTTTAAAAAGATTATTTATTTGACAGAGAGACACACAGCTAGAGAGGGAACACAAACAGGGGTTGTGGGAGAGGGAGAAGCAGACTTCCTGCCTGATGCAGGGCTGCATCCCAGGATCTTGGGATCATGACCTGAGCTGAAAGCAGCCGCTTAACTGAGCCACCCAGGCGCCCTCCTTTAACATCTTTGATGCTCTTTTTTTTTTGTAGGTTACCTTGCAAAACCTGTGTCGCTGTTTTGTGGGGAACTGTAAAAGATAGGTCAGGTATAGATTTTCATAGCTATGTGTAGATTTTCAGTTTATGTAATCCGTCTTGTTATATATCCCATTCTGCTGCTCATGTTCACGTTCAGCACTGCCTTTAAGACTCCCAGCCTTTTCTTAACATTCACAGAAGAAGCTACAGTTGTGCCCTTGGCACCTGGTAGGTTGCACATAGTAGACGATTAGTGTTTTTTATTTTCTATTTTTATTTGTTTATTTATTTATTTATCAGTAATCTCTACACCCAATGTGGGGCTTGAACTCATGACCCTGAGATCGGGAATCCCATGTTCTACTGACTGAGCCAGCCAGCCATGCTCAATGTTTTTTAAATGAACTATTGCATACATTTTCATTTTTTGTTACTTTTTAAAATATTTATTTATTTATCTTCAGAGAGAGAGCGTGTGTGCATGTGTTGGGGCCCAGGGGCAGAGGGACAGGGAGGGGATCTGCCAGGAGACTCCCTGCCACATGTGGAGCCTGACACTGGGCACGATCTCAACCCGAGATGATGACCTGAGCTGGAATCGAGTCAGATATTCAACCAGCTGACCCAGGCGCCCCTACCGATATTGGAAACATCCCTGGAATCCAGCTATATTGTTTTGTCAAACGTACCAAGCGAGCACCAGAGATTTCCTGCCACAGGATTTCCTTCACAAGGCTTCGTTGGGCGGCAGCCTTGCATCCCAGAGCATGGATGCAGCATTAGTTTCTAAAATCAATTCCTTGTTGTTAGGCATTTAGGCGATTTCTGCATTTACATCATTATAAATAATGTAAATTATTTATAATTGATGTTTCAAAAACTACGTGAGCTTTAAACACTTTTGAGAAGAATCGCTTGATTTCTGGACTGCTAATTTGGAGGACAGGCTGCTAGGGCGAAGGAGAATTTGGGTGACAAAATGGTATGGTTTGGTGGGACAAACACTCATCTAGGAGCCAGTGATATGGATTACAGTGTTGGCTTTGCTGTGACCTGCTCTGTGACCTTAGCGGTGTGCTTGACCTCTCTGAGTCCCCAAAATATGCCCTGAAAGGTGAGGGATTTCAGCTGGCTGGGGATTGTGAGCTGGGAATTCTTTCCACATTGCTCCCCAGGCTGGCGGGCTGTTACCAGGCCCTGGATGGAGGCAACACGGCAGATGCATTGGTGGACTTCACAGGTGGCGTGTCTGAGCCCATCGACCTGACCGAGGGTGGCTTCGCCCATGATGAGGCCAAGAGGAACCAGCTCTTTGAGCGTGTGTTGAAGGTGCACAGCCGGGGAGGCCTCATCAGTGCCTCCATCAAGGTGAGAGCACAGAGGCAGCCCTCCTGAGCTTTTTCACCGGCCCTTACTGGGGAGGGAGCTGGCCATGCTGTCCCCGGCAGGGCCCCTGCTCAGATTGGCTCCTAAATCTTTGCCCTCAGCCTAGGGGGGTGGAGGGGAGCAGTTGGGGGTGGCCTTCCCCCTCCCCAGTGCTGGGCAGCACAGGACATAGGCCCCTGTGCCCTAATTTCTATGGTATGAAATACCTTCCGGTTTGACCAGCATCCCCCTTTTATGGGCATCTTGTACTGGGGCGAGGGGTGTCTGTACCTCTTAGTCGGGGTTTGAGGCATCATGAGCTACAAGGTGACTGGAAAGGGGGGAGCCACTTCCTGCAGCTGGCGCAGGCCCGAGTGCTTCAGGAGGATCATCTTATTTCATCGACTTACTCCTAATCCAGATGGAGAATCTGGGGCTCAGTGCAGACACCAGTGGGGGGTTGTCTAGACCAGAAAAAGGAAAAGCCCTGATTTGGAGCATTTACTGATTTCTGTGGTGTCAGTACTTTCACCATGTTGATTTCAAGCTAATGTTTTAACAGTTGCACAGCTGAGCCAGTGGCAGTGAACTCCAGTACACCCCTGGGCCAACCCCACTTTAGGCCCCTTCCTTGACCCCACACTGCTGCTCACTGGGGGCTTTGCGAACTCTGAGCTCAGTTCCTAACCACAGCCTCTGCTTTGTGTGGGGCTGTCATTCCTTCCCTGTCCTGTAGAGGGCGGTGTAGACGCACACCCGCCTCGCAAACCAACCCACTGACCCGGCTCTGCCTCTGTGTCCTCCCGCAGGCAGTGACAGCAGCAGACATGGAGGCCCGCCTGGCGTGTGGCCTGGTGAAGGGCCACGCATATGCCATCACTGACGTGCGCAAAGTGCGCCTGGGCCACGGCCTGCTAGCCTTCTTCAAGTCGGAGAAGCTCGACATGATCCGCCTGCGGAACCCCTGGGGCGAGCGGGAATGGAATGGGCCCTGGAGTGACACGTGAGGCCGAGGGATGGGAGTGTGGGCACAGGACAGACCCCGGGTGGGTGGGCCCTGGTATGAGAGCTTGGGCAAGGGCAAAGGTGGGGCTTCCTGGAGGTGGTGGCTGGGCCTAGAAGGCTTTGGGAGGAGGATGACATTAGGAGACTTATGTTGCAGCAGGCCTGTGTGGGAGTGGGTTGGGGTGGAGGGTGGATTCTGCAGGGCAAGGACCTGGAGGTAGGCATAAGCTGATTCCTATAGGGGACAGAGAGCCCCACCTGGTGGTGAGTGGGGAAGAAAGGGAGGGAGACCGCCAGGGTTGAGAATGGGGGTGACTGCTCTATGTTCTGCTCATGGCCCTGGTGAAGCTAGGACAGGAACAGAGCCAGGCCTCCACTGGGGGAGCCCCCTCCCCTGAGGGTCATTCTGCCCTTGCCGCCAGTCTGTGGCTTTGCTCTCAGACCTCCGGCCGGCATGGAAGCAGCCCATGGTTACCTGTGGGAGTGGCAGACAGGCTTTTTGGAGAGGGGCTGGGCCTGGCCCTGGGGCCCCCAGCTACACCCACACTGATGGAGGCCTGGTGCTGAGCTCGCCCTCATGCCTCCTTTCCCTGGGTGGCCCTGGTGGGGTCTCTCTTATGCTCCCCCCTCTTCCCTCCTCATGTCCACATGCCAGCTCAGAGGAGTGGCAGAAAGTGAGCAAGAGTGAGCGGGAAAAGATGGGTGTGACCGTGCAGGACGACGGGGAGTTCTGGTGAGTGAGCTCTCGTCCCAGGTGTGCATCCAGGGGCTGTGGCAGGGGACACTGAAGGGGAGACCAGGGCCAGGGCTCTAGCCGATGCCCCACCATCAGCTTGCTCTTTGGCCTTGGACAAGCCATTTCGTGCATTGAGTTGGGCAGTAATGGGCCCATCATCCCCATGGTCCCCAGTGCCAACCACAGGGGACTCCGAGCTATTCCAGCTGGGCCCTCAGCAAGTAGGCTGGGATACCAGCGGGTGGGGCCTTGACCCCTTCGGCAGGGGGCATGCTGGCTGCCTGATTGATGGGAGCAGGGAGGGGAGAGGAGAGGCCTCTCAGGGTCGCTGCCCCCTAAGCTGGCCTCTGGGTGCAGAGGAGCCTTTAGTGGACCAGGAGGGAGACCCAGCCCACGGGTGAGAGAGTACACTGGGTTTGAGAAGAGGGAGTTCAGGGAGGTGAGGGGAGCTCTGGGGGTATGGGGCTATGGGTTGGAGGTTGGCTGGGAAGATGACAGCAGCCTTGCTTAAAGAGCCCAATAATGAATGATTCCTGCATTCATCCACTCGTGCGTCCAGTAGTCCCGACTCTGTGCCAAGCTCAGAGTCATTCTTCAGTAGGACCCCTGATCCCGATAGGCCATTGCCTCCTGGAGGGGCACGGGGCACCCTTGGTGCCGTGGATGCTATGAGGGCCCCAGGACGGCTCAGAGGCTGATGGCAGTGATGGCTCAGGGGAGCCACAGCAGGTCCCCCCGCCCAGGCCCTCTGGTCTGGGCTCCTGCAGATGAAATCTGCTTTGCCCAGTGTGGCTCAGGGGGTCAGTTGAATTAAAACAGAGCAGTGGAGAACCCTCATCAGGGGAAAGGGCTTCTTCATAAGGCCTGTCTCCTGTGTGCTCACACTTAATGCACATATGTGCCTATTCTCGTGTATGTGCACACTCGAAGGGGGGTGGGCATAGCTGACCTTCCCCGGGCTCCCGAGGTATGCTGGGTGGCACGTTCCCCAAGGGGCTCCTGCCACCAGTGCCTTTGGGCCTCCCAGCAGCTGTGGTTGATGATGGATGGAAACATGCTTTATAAACTGCAGAGGGCTGGCCACAGGCGTCCTTGGTACTATTAACAACTGAAGAGCTGGCCTCTGCCAGTTCATGTCTGCTGGAATTTGTACCACACGCTTGGATTGCTTTCCTCAGTTCCTGAAGGAGCTGTGAGAGGGGCGGCTGCTGTGAGGGTCAGTCCCGTCTTACACGTCAGGAGACTGGGGCCAGAGGAGTTGTGAGACAGGCGTCTGCACACACCCCAGTGTGGGTGGCGGCTCAGGGCACATAGGGTGAGGGGTGGGCCTCTCACCTGGGTGGGCCAGGCAGGGGACCTGGCCGGCTCACCACCCCACCGTGGCCAGGATGACCTTCGAGGACATGTGCCGATACTTCACCGACATCATCAAGTGTCGCCTGATCAACACATCTTACCTGAGCGTCCACAAGACGTGGGAGGAGGCCCGGCTGCGGGGTGCCTGGACAAGGCACGAGGACCCCCAGAAGAACCGCAGTGGAGGTTGCATCAATCATAAGAACACCTTCTTCCAGAACCCGCAAGTGAGCGTGCTCAGGAATCCCATCCCCCGCCCTTGCCACCGTCCTGCATAACGCTGGGTACCTCCCTGTCCCCTTGCGGGCCTCTGTGCACCTGTCTGTTTAGTTGGGGGGGGCGTGTTTGGGGGAGGTCCTGGGCAACCTGCAGATGATACAGACAAGGAACTAAGGCTCTGGGAACTCATGGCTGTCTCGTCCAGAGTTATCAGGACATTTAGAGGGAGGCTGAGCTAAGGACTCGAACCCCGTGTTTCTACACCTATGGTGCTGCTCTTGCCAGGGGAGCTTGCCAGGCTGGCTCTCCCTCAGGGAGGACGTCTCCCCTGCAGCCTCATTAGCTGTGACCCTGGCAGCTTGTTAGTTCTCATGTGTGGCGTGCCTTCATTTGGCACCAACTGCATGCGGGCTCGGAGCTGAACCTCCCTGATGTCACCAATTCTTGTTGCCACTCCCACAGGGTGGGCATCGTGGGCCCAGGTCATAGATGAGGGACCAGGCTCAGAGAGGCGCTGTGACTCATGCGGGCTCTCCCCTTTGAGCTGGGGCCTGGCTCCGGCCTAGCTTCAGGGAGCCGGCAAGCCCGTGTCCGGCACAGTCTTACCACAGTGTCTCTCTTCCTCCGCTGTCCCTGCAGTACATCTTTGATGTCAAGAAGCCAGAAGATGAAGTGCTGATCTGTATCCAGCAGCGGCCGAAACAGTCCACCCGCCGGGATGGCAAGGGTGAAAATCTGGCCATTGGCTTTGACATCTACAAGGTGAGGCCAGCTGGGTCCCCTGCTCTGGGTGAGGAGAGTGAGGGAGCTGGATTTTAGGCCACCTGGGCCTGGGGAGAATATTCTAGAACACTCTGGTCCCTGACCTCATCCCTGCCCTCGGGCCACAGTGGCTGATGCCCTGGGCCTGCTGTGGCGTGAGCCCTCTTTGGAACACCGGCAGAGGGCTCCACCTGCCTGGGGTTGGCTATCCTGGGAGCTCTCAGTCTGGTTTCTTCCCTTCCAGGACCCACAGGCTCTTTGGTGGTTGGGAAGGGGAAGACAGCCAGTGGTCAGGCCACACCCTGGGAGGCTCTGGGTCCCCCTGAGCTGGAGGCTTTCCTGGGCCCTGGGAGCAGGCATCCCGGGCAGAGCCAGGCAGGCTTCCCACTGGTGGCTCCCACTGGTCCGGGGCCCGAGACTGTGCTCATGTTGTGACACCCGGGGTGTGACAGCACACAGCGTAACAGGACACCACGGGCCCCCACATGCCCAGAACCTCAGGAGACCACATGTGGGCTAAGCCCCTGCATTAGATGTGCTTGGTCATGTCCTGACGGTCTGTGCGTGTCCTTGTGTTGCGACGTCCACCGTGTGCTGGAGTGTCCTGACTTTGACCTGTTGGGACCTCACATGATAGGGCTGCAGCTCATCATGGCAGGAGTTGGCTAGCATGTCCCGGCAACTGGTGGCGTCATTGCCTGGCCGTGGGCTGTGATGTGGGCTGATAGTGACTCTGGGGGCTACCGTTGAGTCAGAAACTGCAGGGACCTCATGACCAGGGGTGAGTCCTGGTGCCTTCTTACTCTTAATGGCTTTGCTGAGACCTAATCCACACGCCATACAGCTCACTCATTCAGTGTGCTGTGACTTGGAGCATATTTGGAGAGTTGTGCGACCATCGCTGCTATTTTATTTTTAATTTTTTTTTTCCAAATGATTTTTTCCCCATTTTATTTTATTTTATTTTAATTTCTTTTCGGTGTTCCAGCATTCATTGTTTATGCACCACACCCAGTGCTCCATGCAATACATGTCCTCCATAATACCCACCACCAGGCTCACCCAACCCCCTACCCGCCTCTTCTCCAAAACCCTCAGTTTATTTCTCAGAGTCCACAGTCTCTCTTGGTTTGCGTCGCCACCATTTTAGAGCATTTTCGTCACCCGGAAAAGAAACCTGGCACCCTTCAGCCACCACTGCACAGTGCCGTGCGTGTGCCGGCCTCACCCGGCCACGGGACTCGGGCAAGCACCCATCTACCCCGGTCTCTGCCCATTTGCCTTTTCCGGGCAGTGCATGGACGCAGATTCTGTCACCCTATTCACAGGGGGGAGCACGGGAGCCGGAACTGGAATGTGGGGGTGGGAGTTGAGGGGGCCCCCGGGGGGGATGGGGAGGGGGGGCTTAGGGGGCGGGGCGTGCGTGTGGCCCAGCCCCCTCTCCCTGTGCGCAAGGGCAGGTGGAGGAGAACCGGCAGTACCGCATGCACAGCCTGCAGCACCGGGCTGCCAGCTCCATCTACATCAACTCGCGCAGTGTCTTCCTGCGGACCGACCAGCCCGAGGGCCGCTTTGTCATCATCCCCACCACCTTCGAGCCTGGCCACACTGGCGAGTTCCTGCTTCGGGTCTTCACTGATGTGCCCTCCAACTGCCAGTGCGTGGGGTCTGCTGGGGACGCGATTGGGAGGGTCCAGTTCTCATACGAGGCTGCCCCAGAATCTGCAGCCGCAGAGATGTTATGTGTCTGCCCCAGGCATGGAGCCCAGCCCTCCAGCCTCCCTAGGGTGGCACTGGCGCTCATGGCACCCATGGCCATCCTTCTTCTCCCCTCTCCTGCTCCTCCATCCCCTCTCTTGGCTACATAAAGGGACAATGTCTCGTATGTGCATGGCACTTCACAGTTTACAAAGCTTTCAGTCATCTCATTTGCTCTTCCTGAACCCCAAGTGGGGGGCCTGACCCCTCCATTTTACAGATCAGGATTGGGGATCATGGTTGGGGGGTGGTTTCCAAGGTCATGACACCAGTGGTTGAGTTGGGCTAGGTGGACTGCTGGAACCATTCCATCCCTGCTGGGGTGCAGACCCTGTGAGACCCACAGTGCCCTCCCACTTCAGCAGGCAGCTCCTTGCACCCACGGCAGACCTGGGAGGCAGTATGTGTGGTGGGCTCAGTGGAACTGAGTCCTGCCAGTCCACATTCCACCTCTGTCCTGCTGTGGGGCAGATCCCTTCTCCTGATGAGCCCAGTGCTTCATAGTCTGTTCAATGGGCGTGGTAATAGTCACTTATCACCCGGGGCTTCGGGAAGATGACACATAATACCTATAATATCCCAGCAGAGGGCTGGGCCCACAGCAGGTGCTCAGTAAATTGCTTTTCTCTCCGGCAGAATGGGGCACCCTTACAGAGAGAGAGAGCAGCAGGAAGCCAAGGGTGGTTTGCCCAGGATAAGTAGTGTCTGGACTAAATATTACTCCCCTCCCCTTCCCCCTTCTTGAACCCTCTCACCTTACCCTTTTCCTCCTCTGCCCTGTCCCAGGGAGCTGCGCCTGGACGAGCCCCCTCGCTCCTGCTGGAGCTCCTTGTGTGGCTACCCCCAGCAGGTGACCCAGGTGCACGTCCTAGGGGCTGCTGGTCTCAAGGACTCCTCGACAGGTGAGTTAGCCCGGGGAAAGCTCCAGGACCTACCTCGCTAAGGAGGTGGCTCCGTCCCCTTCCCAGCCCCATCCTCTTCCCACTGCTCAACAACAGACACCCAGCCTCCAGAACTCTCCTGCTCTCACTCACTGAGTGAGCAAACCTTTCCTAACATCCATGCTGGGCCGAGCCTTGGAATGAAACTGGGTGCCTAGAGAGGAACTGGGTACCTGCTCTTGGGCAGCTTCCCATGTCGGGGGGACAGTCAGACACAGGAACAGACAGCCGGGAGGCACGGCTTAGGGAAGGCTTCCTGGAGGAGGTGGCCTTTCTCCAAGCTGAGGAAGCATTAAGATATGTTGGTGAAGTGGAATAGGGGAGAAGAGTGCTCAGCATGGAGGCCAGGGATCGACAGTGTGCCGCTTGCTCCTCCACCCCGCCCCATTTCTGGAAGTTAGGAAGTGAGTCAGGCTCTGTCCCCCTTCTACTGAATATAGCACTCTGACTTCTGCTTTGGGGAGGGGAACTCACTTCTCAGACACCTGTCCCAACCCCCACCACCCCTATCCCAACCCCACTATCACTCCATTGCCCACTCAATTTGTCTAGGGGCCAACTCTTACGTGATCATTAAGTGTGAGGGGGACAAAGTCCGCTCGGCCGTGCAGAAAGGTACCTCAACGCCTGAGTATGATGTGAAAGGCATCTTCTACCGCAAGAAGCCGGGCCAGCCCATCACAGTCCAGGTGAGCCTGCCCGTCCCAAGGGCCCCTCCTGGCGTGCCACTCCCTCCTGCCCCCAGCCCCCACCTGATGCTTCCCCATTCACAGGGGCTGGGCCCAGGATGGCAGATTTTTTTGTTGGGGACCTAGGAACACTACATGCTGATTCCTATTCTCTCCCTGACATGGTATGGCCTCGGGAATTCTCTTACCTGCCCTGCCCAGTGCCCCAGAGTCTGTGGGGTGGGCGAATTAGATTAGCTGGTAAGAATTTGAGACACAGCAGGGTTAGGCCAGGGACAGTGGTCGTCTTTGCCAGCTTTGCCACAGTAGCTTGGGAGTTGTTCCTTAAATACCTCCGGAGATGGGTCTGCCTGAGAGCTTGCACCAAGATGAGATGCGGTGTAGTGGGGGTGGCTGTCCTGAGATCGAGGGACCAAAAAGCCGGGGTTCTGGGCATGGGATGATTCTGGGCTCATTAGTGGGAAGTCCTCTGCCCCTGGGCCCAGGCCAGCCCCTCCCTGGGTGAGAAACCATCTGTAAACAAATGCCCAGTTCCCCTGGGGAAGCCACTATAGGATTTCCAAGTTTTCCTAACACTGGATCCCACTGGATCAAATCACAGACCCGTAGATGTTGGGGCTAAAAAGACCTGTAGGGGCCGCTGATCCAGCCCTCGTATTGAAGATGGGGGAAGTCAGGGCAGCAGGTGTATCGCTTGTCCAATGTCACCTAAGGTCTGCCGCAGTGCTAATAACACACTTAACTGGGGCGCCTGGGTGGCTCAGTGGGTTAAAGCCTGTGCCTTCGGCTCAGGTCATGATCCCAGGGTCCTGGAATTGAGCGCCACATCAGGCTCTCTGCTCAGCAGGGAGCGTGCTTCCTCCTCTCTCTGACTGCCTCTCTGCCTACTTGTAATCTCTGTCAGATAAATAAATAAAATCTTAAAAAAAAAATAACACACTTAACTGTATATGTGGAAGGGAGTTGGACAGATGGGAGGAAGCCTGAGGTTCTGGAAGGGGTACGGCCAGACCTATATTCCGGCTCTTAAAGATGCCTCCCCCTCCCATCCCATGTTCCTCTGTCTCCTTCTAGATCTGGAACCACCGAGTCCTGAAGGATGAATTCTTGGGCCAGGTGCAGCTGAAGGCTGACCCCGATGACCTCCAGGCCTTGCACACCCTCCACCTCCGGGACCGCAACAGCCGGCAGCCCAGCGACCTGCCTGGCACCGTCGCTGTGCGTGTCTTCAGCAGCACCTCCCTCATGGCTGTCTGACACCCACCCACCCGCCTGGCGACCACAGTTTTAAACCATCTGCATGTCCCCAACCTGGCCAGGGACTCGCCTGAGAGCCAGGAAGCTGGGGGCCTCCTCCCAGCTTTTCCACTGACTTGCTGTGTGATCTGGGGAGGCCTCTGCCCTTCTCAGGGCCTCAGTGTCCCAAGGCCCCCGAAGTGTTCCCTTCTCATGGAGGAGCCTTCCTGCCTGAGATTTATAATCACACCCCTTACCCCAGCTGTCACTACTGCTAAGGGATTCTATCCGTTGAAAACATTTTCCCAAGGCCCTGCTGTCTGCCGACGGAGTGCCAAGATGTCACTTGTTTACACACAAACTGCCACGTCCCCGAACCCCACTCTTGCCCCTGGTGTCCCTGTGCCCGCCCCTGTGAACCAGACCTTGCTTTCTCTGTCCCCTACACCTGGTTTGCTAGCCACCTTGAAAGGGCTCTTGGCTCTTGCTGGGTTCCTGCTTGGGCTGGAGTCAGGAAAATGGTCAGGTGACATTTGTTCGTTCTCTCATCCTGTCCACTTGCCCATCCATTTATTTATTCAACAGAGTTTTGCCAAATGAATAAACGACCCATGAGAGCCCCAGTGGTGCCGGGCACCTCCCTGCCACTCTGGGAGACCCGGCATCTGTGTGGGGCCTCACCCCTGCTCTCAGGTCCTCTCCGAGGTGGATGCCCACATGCCCAGAGGAGCTACTGTGGCTGCCATCTTGCCCCAGGCTCTGATTGCTGTCCTAGCCTCTGGGTGAAGCCCCCTAGTGGGATGGCATCAGTGGTTGTGGGAGGAAGGGCATTTTCCTGCCTCTGTTGCCTTCATGCCAGAAGGCGTGTGCTTGGTTTGGTGGCCAGGAGGGTGTGAGGAGGCCTGGGGACCTGAAGGCTCCTCTCTGCTTTAAGACTTTTCCTAGGAGGAGGGACCCTGGGGCAGTGATCTCAGGCCCACTGGGCTCAGGTCACTTGTTGGGCTTGGCAGGAGACAGGTGAATCCATCACCTGACCAGAGGCCCCTCTCCCAAAATTCCCCCCCAGAATGCAGCCCAATGAGCTATGGCCCTCCTCTTGCTGCCTGGACCAAAATGTTCCTTTAGTCTTCAATGTTTTATATTCTTCATGTGTTACCAATTTCAACCAGGGGCTTTGAAAGGAAAACAAAGCCTGAGCCCCTTTATTCATCTTCAGCTCCAGTTCCTGTGGTCCTCTGATTTTAATTCTGATTCTGCCGGGTGGGTGGGGGATGGGGACGAGAAGTCCTTCCTTCTCAGACGAGGCCCACGGGGTGGGGAGGGGGAGGGGTGGTGAAGAAGAGGGTGTTTCCAACTCGGATGTGTTGCCAGCTGGCCCCACCCAGTTCTTGGTGAGTGTTGGTGCCACGACCTGCTTGGGTCCCTTCTTTGCCCTTCTCTGGCTCCAGACAGGGGGACGTAAATGAAAAACCCAGTTGGTTCAAGAACAGGAATTCCTGTGGCCTTGCTGGGGATTTGTGGCTGGCTCTGTTCTGTGCCCTGGCGCCCTGCCACGGGAGGGGCTGGGAAGCAAACCAGGAGGCCAGGAGGATTCCTTCTTGAAAAGCTGGGACTTCCCCTGCAGAACCTGGGCCTGGGGCTGGGCCAGGACCACATGACGAGGAGCAAGTCACTGAAACCTCCTGTGCCTCGATTTCCCTTCTGCGAAGTGGGGCCCACCGTTCTTGTTTGCCGGCACTCTTACTACCATGTGCTGAGTAAGGGCATACCCTTCATGTATCTCTGTATGCGAGCACACCATACACCTTCACGGAGTCACTCAGTGTCTTTTCCAAGTGAAGACTCCCGAGTTGGGGCGGAGAGGTGAGGGCCAGATAAGCCAGCTTGGGGCCCTGGGGGCCAACACCCGGGTCTTTGCTCTGCCATGTGCACCTGGGCTACGAGGCAAACCGGGAGCAACCGGCTGGCGTGTGTGGGCTTCAGTCTGGGGATTGGGCACTGCGTTTCCCCTTTCCCCCAAGAAAAACCAGGTTTGGCAGCCCTGCCCTTGCTTGCTGCCCTGAGTGGTCCAGGCTGGCTCCTGGCTGTGCAAAGGTGCCCTGTCCCTGGGCAGGTAAGGATGGAGTTCTTCCTGCTAGGACTGGAGGGTGGGTGGGGAGAGCAAATGCTCCATTCCCCCAATGCGCCCTTCAGCCCGTGGGGGGCCTCAGGGTCCCCACTTGCCGCTGGGCAGGGCTTCCGGTCACACCACCTGGATGTGGTCTTCACTCCCCTCAGGACCGACTGTGGGGTCAAGAGTGGAGACCTGTTCTGTTCTCAGAATAAACATTAACCACAATCCCAGAAAGACTTTCTTGGATCTGTCTGTCCCTCTGTGGGTAAGGGAGAGTGGAGGGAACATTTCCAGCTCATCTGTGGGCAGAGGTCGTGGGGATCATGGCATCATTCCTTCAGCCCACCTTGTCCCAAGCCCCACCCCAGGCACTGGGGACTCGGGGAACCAGCTTGTCCCATCTGTGGGGCTGTCCACACGCTAGGCCCATGGAGACACTGTGGTCCTAACAAACACTGTGGAGGGAGTGACTGGAAAGGCAGTGTGGGTTCTGGGGGCTTTCAGCTGACCTGGGAGGGAAAGTCGGCCCCCTGGTGCAAGTGGACTGTGGAGAGAGGGAGGAAGTCACAGAAAGAGGGGCGGGGTTTGTGGGTACAGGTGGATGGTGGGGAGGCCAGAGTGCAGGCTATTGGGAGGAAGATGCTGTCAGCTTTAGCCAGGGAGCTGGGGTGGGGGGTAGGGGCTCGGGAGAACTAGTGGACAGATTTTGGAGGTAGAGTGGACAGAATTCAGTGATGACTGGGTTAGGGTGGGTGGGGAGTGAGGGGAAATTAATGAAGGTCAGTCAGTTCATAGGTTTCTCTACAGGACCGTGAGCAAAGAACATTATGAATGCTGAGCCCTGCTTAGCACAGAACATGACCATGGGTGCTGGGTAGATTGTTGCTGTTACGGCAACCAGCGATTGCTGCGGACCTCTCCACTCCCTACCACACTGGGGCCATCCTCACATCAGGCCTGCATTCTGCTCCCGTGTTCCTCTCAGGGTTCCTCCGTTTTCCCGGCTATGCAGGCCGCCTTCAGCCTGGGAGGCTCAGCAAGGGAGGTGATGGCAGGAGGGGTAGGTAGCAAGGGGCAGTGGCAGGCGCCAGCCCAGAAGTGGGGATGGCGTCCGGAGCAGCCCCTGCCCAGGGCCGCCTGGCTGAGATCATGCTGGCAGTTGGGGCCCTGCAAGGGTCAGGAGTGCCGGGTCAGAGTCCCCGAGTCTGAGCAATGTTGCTTCTCACCTGCAGCTCCAGGCGGAGGCCGGACGCTGAGCCTTGCTCCCATGGGGACTCCAGGGGGCAGCTCTGCCTGTGCCCACCAGGTGGCACACTTGGCCCCCCACCCCGTTCTTTGGTGGGGGGTAGCCTCCTTCCTGCAGACACACCTCCATTACAGAGGTGGGGGCTTGGAGAGCGCCTCCCTCTGCCCTGGCCAAAGTTGCCCCCAGACAGGCCCACATTGATGGGTGGCAGGAGGCAGAGACCGGCAACAAGGACATGCCAGGTCTCAGCGAGGAGTCCTCAGTGTTACTGTCTTTGCCAATGCTAATAACACTGTGTACTCCTGTGTATGCCCCCCTCCTCGCACTTTTAAATCACATTATTTCCCTTCAATTCGTATGTGTCCCTGGCACAGGCAGGGTTGCCCAAGTCAGTGGGGTTGAGAAAGTTTCCTGGATGATTAGGGACAACATCAGCCCCCCCACCCGCCCCTAGAACAGGTTGTGGGGACAGTGTTGAAGAGCTTGAGGGGACACATCTGAGGGGAGCCCTTGGGAAGTGGGTCTGGGGAAAGGTGGTATGTGTGCATGGACTGGGGAGAAAGAGCCAGAACATGGGGCTTACAACCTCCTGCCCGGCCCTGCCTGGTCCTTTCCTCTCGAGAGCGTCAGGCAGGCATTTAAGGAGAAGAAAACAAGCCTTGGTGGAGGGCCCGCAGGTGCCGAGACTCAGCAAATCAGTGACCTCAGTGACCGGGTGGGGATGGGGGAGGTGCCCGCCACGTGCGGGGAGCAGGTGATTACTTCAGGTAATAGCGGGCAGCTGAAGCTGTCCAGGGAGCTTTTGCCCAAGTCCCGCACTGGTCGGAAGCGCCACAGAGGAACCCAGGAACCTGGGCGTCCCCACTGGGCAGCACAGCCTGCCTCCTGTGCTGATGTCACAGGGCACCCAGGTCTTGGAGGCCCCTCTGACTCCGCCTCCTGAGGGAAGGCTCCGGAGGGGGGCGCGGGGAGGGCAGCAGTGCCGTTGGACAGCTGTCCTGGTCGGGAAAGAGAGGGAGACGCTGAGAGGGAGACAGCCGGTCACACAGAGAAGAACTGACAGCTCCAGAGAGACACCCCCCTGCCCCCCGCCAAGGGTGACGAGCCTCGGAGCAAGACAGGAAGAGAGGACGTGTGTCAGCAGATTGTCCCAGACCCAGGACCCCAGCTCTTGAGCCTTTCGTGCAGGGGGCAGCTGCATCCAGTCTGGTGGGCAGCTGAGACTGGGGAGCTGGGACCCCGGTAAGCATGGGCTGCCTGCTCTCCTGGGCGCTGGGAGAAGGGTGTGGTGGACGCCCGGGGAGTCACGGATCCGCCCGCCCATCCTGGGGCCCCTGCCCTTAACAGCCGTTTCCTCCTGGTCTGGCCCCCCCTGCCACAGCAGCCACTGAATGAAACTGTCCTGAGCCTAGACAGATAGAGGCTTGTAACGGGGAGAAAGGCAGAGCCAAGGGATACGGTGTCCATTGAATGGTCTCTGAGCGGGCCTTGGGGCAGGGGGGCAAACGTGCTGGGGAGGCAACGAGAGAGAGAGAGAGAGAGAGACTCTTTTGGCCTCTGACACGATTCCTTGATCTCCTTCTTTCTCTCTCTTTGGATAAGTGACTTCCTTCCTCTGTGCCTCAAACTTCTCATCTGTGAAATGGGAATAAGAACCACCACATACCCCCCCCCCCCCCCCCGCTCCAGGTTGTTGTGGGGAAAAGGTAAAGTCAGCGTGGACATAGAAGTGTAAATACAGTTTTTGTTTTCCCTATTGTCAATTTTGAAATGCAATTAACTTAAACGTGGGCTAATTCTTATTTTCAGGAAGAAGTTTATCTTGTAGCTTTTTCCTTCTGTGTACTGTTAAATTCCATGCCCCTTCCACCCTCCAGAGCCCTGAAAAGCTGGGCTCTGCCCCAGCTTTCGAGGCTCACCCTGGTGCAGGAGGTCGGCCCAGCCACAGGGCACCCTGCTCAGATGCAGCTCCCCATGGCAGCCGCCTGCCAGCCCCGTTGAATTGCCTTCCCCACCAGCCAGGCTGGGGGCTGGTCTCCAGCAGAACTCCTCGCCTGCTGTGTTCTGGAGCTCCAGGCCAGGGGTCAGGGCTCAGGTGTCAGGCAGTGTCCTGGACAGGGGATCAAATGCTTCAGTGCCTCTGAATGGGCCTTGTGAAAAATTGATGCTCACCCTGGAGGGGCAGAGGGGCCTCCCACCAGAGCCTGTGGGCTGGGGCTGTCTCGGATCACCACGCTTGGTCCCACGGTTCCTTCCTGAGCAATCTCTGGGCCTGGTCCTATACTGTGTGAGGTAGTGGCTGAGCTCACCCCTGCCCTGGATTAACTCCCCAACTTTAGGAGGACAGAGGTGGGGACAGACCCTGACCTGACAACATAATGCATATAGTCAGGGCTGGATAGACAGAAACATCAGGGTTCTTCGATGCCTAGGGGTGGTCAGAGAAGACTTCCTGGAGGAGGTGCTATCTGAACTGAGCCATGAAGTATAGGTGGGAATTTACTAGTCAGAATTCCAGGTGGAGGGGTCAGTGTATGCAGAGGCCAGGAGCTATGAAAAGGGCTGGCATGTTTCCAGAGGAGTGAGTGCTGAGGATGGCCCAGGTGTCAGGGAGAGGGTAGGGAAAAGGCAGTGAGAGGTAAGACTAAGACTTCAGTAAGAGCTGTATCATACTGGGCCTTACAAGCCAGCCTGGTGGGCTTAGGACCCCCATCCTGAAAGCAGTGGGTGCTCTGGGGAAGGGTTTTAGGCAGGGCAGGCCATGAACAGGTCCTGCTCAGCCTGTGACCATCTCCTGAGGACTGGCTTCTCCTGTCACCCAAACTCCCAGCCCTGAGCTGGGAGGCTGGAAATCAAGCCCTAGTCCTAGTTCTGAACTTGTCCTGCCCTGCTGTGTGATTTTGGCA